CAGAAGCTCAACCTATATAGGCTGTCAGCATTCAGAGAGTAACAGACAGCTCCCTGCTCTTCTGTCCATGCCAGCTCTGCCTCTGCTTCTCAACCCACACAGCTCCACTTCTCCCCGTCAGGAACTGGAGATAGGTCTTCCCCATGGCAGCTTCCATCCTCCCAATTTCTGAGTCCATGTCTATCCCTTCCAGGCATCCAGCTGGGTCTTCCCTGAGGCTGCTCTGTCCGTAGCAGGACTTTCTCCCTCTGGGCTAGGGTTGTTTGGGAGCCTAGCAGCCAGAGTTGAGATGACTGGAGGGAACAGCAGGGGAGGCTCAGTATGAAAAAGCTACTTCCCACCCCATCGGACCATCAGCACTGAGAAAGTGTCCTTTCTCAGTGCTCCATGCTGTCATTCACTTATACTCCTCTATGCCCTCGGGCAACTCCATCTCCCGCCCCAGAGCCTGGCCCTATGGCTCCACACACTCCAACTCCCCAGGCTGTCTGGGGAGAGGCACAAACTGGCTGAGACCAGAAGAGTTCTGTTGGGGTGAGATCCCTGGGATGCAGGGAGCCCGAGCTGAGCTGGGTCCTAAGCTCCAACCATGTGTCCCCAGATCTACTTCATCTGGGTAACACGGACCCAGCGGCAGTTCGAGTGGCTGGCTGACATCATCCGGGAGGTGGAGGAGAATGACTGCCAGGACCTGGTGTCCGTGCACATCTACATCACCCAGCTGGCTGAGAAGTTCGACCTCAGGACCACCATGCTTGTATGTCAGGGCCAGATGGGCAGAGCATCTTGGTGGGTGTGTGGATTGGCAGGGTAAGGTAGGATGGCCAGGGCAGGTGGGTGGACAGCCAGGCTCAGCCGGCAGGAGGCGCAGAGCTGGTGGCTCCAGTAGTCAGCCTCCAGCTCCTTCCCTACCCCAGGCTTTAGGCTGGCTTGGGCTAGGCACTAACCCTGACTGTCCTTGGCCTGACCTTCCCCTGTGCCCCCAGTACATTGAGGCACTTCCAGAAGGCGCTGAACCGGAGTCTGTTCACGGGCCTGCGCTCTGTCACCCATTTTGGCCGCCCCCCCTTCGAGTCTTTCTTCAACTCCCTGCAGGAGGTTCACCCACAGGTCAGTTCCCACCACATATCCAGGTTCTCTTCACTTTGTCATCTGGGTTCTGAGCAAAGCTCCCAAACCTGCTCCATCAGAGAAGAAATTGACTACTAATAAGAATCCATCCCCTGGGAGTTTGGTGGAATAATAGAATGGGAAAGGAGAAGTGGGGGTCACCCTGAAAGTTTAAGGGAGGAAGCAGGTGACAGGGACCTGCCACTTCTGAAGCCATGATGTCTTGTCCAGAAGAAAGAGCTCAATAATTGTGCTAGCCCTCACCATAACCTCAGAGCTACCATTACCACTAACACTGAGCCAGGCCTCATCCTGGACAGAGAGACAATCTTCACCATGAACACTGGGCAAACCACTGTTCTCATAAATACTGGGTTAGCCCTTAATGAGACACTGAGCTATCCCTCAACTTGAACATCGATTAACCCAGCCCCTATTAGAAACATTGATCTTGCACTTGAAACTTGCAAATGCCTTGGAGAGGGCAGAGGCTAGACCCACAGAGAGCAAGCCTACCAAAATTGAGTTAGACTAAACAACACTGAGTCGGCCCTCACCACATGGGAGCAAATCTTCATCAGGAACATGGAATGAGCCCTCATTAAGGACTCTTGATGGTCTGTAACATGGAGTTAGCCCTCCCTCTGAATACTGAGCTAGCTCTCACTTCTATCTCCCCCAACAGGTCCGGAAGGTCGGAGTGTTTAGCTGTGGCCCTCCTGGCATGACCAAGAATGTGGAAAAGGCCTGTCAGCTTATTAACAGGCAGGACCGGACTCATTTCTCTCACCATTATGAGAACTTCTAAGCCTCCTTGCCCAGGGGTTCCACCCACTACCCAGCTGAGAGGAGTTATGCGCTGCATCTCACTTCTGTGCTTCCTGTTTCTTGTTCCCTCAGCCTTCTCCCCATTCCCATCTCCCAATCTTGGTCCAGGTGGCCATCATCGGTCATCCCGTATGGGTTCAGAGACCTGCAGACTTGTAATATCTGAGCCTGGAGAAATTGGAGGCACTATGTGGGGACTAGAGGTTGGGAGCTATTATTGTTTTGAGGCAAAGTGACACCTCTTCTTCCAAACTAAGAAACTTCAAAAAAATTGGAGCTGACAAGTGTGTGTGTGTGTGTGTGTGCGGGTGTGTGTGTGGTCAGGGTAGTGTATGTGTGTGTGTGTGTGTGTGTGTGTGTGTGTGTGTGTGTGTGTGTGTGTGTATGGGGGCTATGAGCCTAAGGATGATGTGGGAGCTCATATGCTGTCATCTTAGAACCCTTCTCCCAAGTCCTCCCCTCCTCTGGGCTCCCCACTGTTGAAAGGGCTGGCAAATGCCTTGGAGGGGGTAGAGGCTGGACCCACAGAGAGTAATTTCTAGGAATTCCCTCAGCACCTCATTCTAATGGCACAATTGATCTTCTCTCTCAAGTTTTTAAACAGGTACTGTAGTCAGAACCTGGCCCGATATCTATGTAGTACTCTTCAGTCCTCCTCTACTCTTCCTACTGCATAGTCTCCTTTACAAGGAAACCCTCTGGGTTTCTTTATTCTGTCTCCAGGTGGGGTGGGTATTGGCAGAGGAAGCCACTCAACCAGCCAGCCGACCTAGGCCAGTGCAGACATTCCCTCTGAGCTTGCCAGTATCCGCTGAATAAAGAAACCCACTCAAGGCCAAGTGCCCCAGCTGGAGACCCCTTTCCTGGCTCAGGGGCACCCTTCCTGACAGAGGGCCTATCCAGGAGGCTAGTGTGAGGCTTCTGCAGCCTTATCATGAGGAGAGTAGATATGGGGGGTTCTGGAGGTGGGCTGGGCACAAAGTGGGGTGGTGGGGTGAGACACAGCAGGCACCAACAGGGAGGCAGAGTTGGTTTGGCCTGCTCCAGAACCTCAGTTATTCCCAGCTCTTCTCTGAGTAATGAGAGAGTTGAGCACCAGGTAGTGAGATGAGGGCTGCGAGGAGATAGATGAGCATATCACCTGTTTTCTCATCTGCAACATGACTGCATGCCCTCCAAGTCTACTTAAAGATAAGTCAACCTTCTGTGAGGGAATTTCTGAAGCAGTACCCGGTTTCAAGTGATCCTTTTTATTGTCCCTCACAGAATTCCAACATTTGTCAGATCACATATCCCCGATTTTGATAAAATATCCACTGGATTAGAAAACCCAAAATCTTATGAGTCACACCACACTTGTGAGTTGCAGATTTAGGTTCTAGAGGAAGTTATCCGACTGCCCTCCTAGGGCAGCCCCTTCGCCCCCCCCACCCCCCCCCAGGGTTTATGTTCAGCTCAACAGGGAGATTCTGTTCAGGTTGCCAGTGAGAGCGAGAGGGAGTGACAGGCGTGACTTGAGAGCAGCTCCACCTGACCGCCCAGTGGATATTCCCTGGCGCTGGGCCCACAGGCCGCGGCGGGTTCCAGCTGTGGCCGAGCGCAGGGGCGCAGGCCAGGCCACCGGTGGGTGTGGTCCCGTGCCCTGGGTCCGCAGTTAGGGACACGGCCAGCAGAGGGCGCGCGAGGCTGCCCTGCCCCCGCCTCCCTCGGCCGAGAGCGACAGCCGAAGGGAGGTCCAGGCCCAGTCCCGCAGGCTGCAGGTCCCCGGGTCTGATCCCGCCCTTCACGGCATGGGGGAGGCGCGGCAGGCCCCCATTTCCTCTGGAAAGGAAACGCAGTCGGCTGCGCCAGCTTTCGCGGCTCCGCGGGCGCGCGGCTTCCGCGTGGCAGGGCCGCCCCTCTCCCCGCGCCTGGCGCGCTGCCTCTTTGTCTCTCCGCGGCTCCCCTCCTCCCAGACAAATGGCTGTAGGCAGGAAATTGGACGCGCTCCTGGGGAGCCGCGCTCCTCGGCGCGGCGGGGAGGGGGCGCCGCGCGGCGGGCTGGCTACTGGGGGCCCCCAGCCGGGGCGGAGGCGGTGGGGGATGTTTTGACATCTCGTCAAAGGAAGGAACTTGATGCTTCGAAAGCGCTTTTCGCAGCCGGCCTGTGTCTGCTCTAGAGCTGATTTATAAACAGATCTGTGCTCGCTTCGCCGCTCCCCACCCCGTTACCCCTGGGGGCGGCGCTGGAGGAGTGGACGCCGCTGTGCCTGGCAGGACTGGTTTATTTATTGCCTCTGGCGGGGAGCCGGGGCAGCCCCGGGACCGCACACGTTCCCTTTGGCCGGAGCTCTTCCCCTCCTCTCCCCGCCCCAATGCCATCTCCATCCCAGGGGTCTGCCTTCCCCAAACCCCGCACCAGACTCGGCGGAGCCCGCGGGTGGTTTGGGGGTGGGGACGGAGAGCTGGTCAGGGCGCCCCGCGGGTCCACGTCCTGCTCCACCCCGCACCGACCCAGGGAGAAGACGGTGGTGGGGAGGGGGGTCGCCCTAGGGGCGGAAAGGGGCTGGAGCTGCTATTCTTAAACTTAGGAGACCCGCGGTTCTGAAGCCCCCGTCCTCCAGGGACTATCCTTTCTCCCCAAGGATTCCTCTCTCCTCAGCTCCAAACCACCTCTAACTCCAAGGCCCCAGTAGCCTTTTCCCTTTAGAATAAATTAAAGAATCTCTGGCTTCCACTCGATCCCAGGAAAGGGGAAGAAGGGCTTGGGAGCTCATGTCCCCGGTAGGACGACAGCCCTCAGCCAGGGGACCGGCACAGGACTGGGTCCAAATCTGTCACAGTACCCCGGCCTCAGATCTACAGAGTCCGGATGGCCACGGGGTAGAGCAGGGACATGTGCTCAGCCCCCTTAATGGGCAGCTTGCGACTGGCGTAGTGGTGCACGATTTCAGGGACGCTGCTGAAGGGCGGGCTGTTCTGGCCCAGCACGTACTTGTGTTCCTTGGTCCGGGACAACTTCATGTGCATGAAGCCCTGACTGCTCCTGGGAAGAGGAGAGGAGAGGAGACCCTGATGAGTGGGAGCCCTCTCCAGTACTCCCCTCCCCCACCCCTGCAGCACTTGTTCCAAACCACCTGAGAGTGGAGGCAACCAAAAAGTAGGGAGAAGGAGGTGGAGATTGTATGAGTAGGTAGCAGTATACATTGCTTTGTGGTGAGGGCACGGGGTGTGCCAAGAATGTGTGCATAGTGACTGTACAGGGTGTGTGCAGGTGGAACCAATACCCCTCCCCACCACCCCAAACGCTAGTATCCAGGCCTTCCAGCCTATGTGGCCAGGGCTGCTTTACCCTCCTCTCTCTCTGAGCTGTTGGGGAGGACTCCTGTGAGGGGCTTCTAGTCACTCCTGTGGAGACACAGACACCCTCGGCAGGACAGTGTGTGGACAGATGTGACAACCAAGTGAATCTTTGTTGGAACTCTCTTTTGCAGACTAGAGGAGGGGGCAAACTGCTCTGGAAGTCCCCTCCACCCCCATATCTGGGAATGCTTAGCTGCCTCTTCCTGGGGACATCCCTTCACTCTCATGCTAACTGGGCCTTGGGCCAAGCCCCCACCTCATCTATCCAGCCCTTCAGCCTGGGATGACATCATCCGTGAGGCTGCAGTTCCATTCCCTCCCTCAGAGATGACACTCTCCAGTGCCTCTCCCATCTCCCCACCACAATCCAGGAAATCAGCATTAGTGCCTGGCCCTACCTACCAATAAGACAAGTACACCCCTGTTCAGAGCTCTGGCCAGCTCCTAGAAGTCTGGGCACCCACAGTGTTAGAGTGTGGGGTGAGGCCCCAGCAAAAACATTTGTCCAAACTACCACAACCCTGGTTGGCCAGGCCGAAGGTCTGAAACTTACCCGCAGGCAAGGGGTCAGCACTGCTTGGGGGAGCCCTGAAGCCTGAGTACTTATCTCTGCTGGTCATAGCCTACTTAGGGACAAGGACAGGGCTCAGAAGCAGGTAGGGCTAGTAAGGGGGCCGACTCATGGTGAGGCCCCCACCATTTAGAGGTGAAGCTGGCAAACCTCCTCACTTGCATCTCCTGCCTGAGTACATAGAGGGCTCTGACAACCTATTTCACTAGGCCCACCAAAGAGCCAGTGGGGAGAGTGGGGAGACTGAAGAAAGGAAAGAGATGGGAAGGAAAAACAGGCCCTTAACTCTGTCCTTCCCTCCCCTCCCCAGTGCCCTAAAGCCTGCTGGGGACCCCACGCCTGGGTGTGTATGTCAGGGCGTGGGGCCATCCTTCATCTGTAGGTCTGAGATAACAGGCTGAGGCTGACAGTGACCACACAGACCCTGGGGTAAGGAGCCAAGGGCCTGAGGGAAATGAACACTCCCTGGGGGCTGCAGAGAGAAGAGGCAGTGAGTGGTCGCCCTCCCCTGTCTGCTCTATGCCAAGGCCCAGGTCCAAGGCTGTGGGCAGTAGCATAGGCCCTGCCTTCTCTCACCCTTTTGAAGTTTCCGGACAGCTCCCTCCCCACTGTTCACTTGGGAGAATCACCTCTCCTGAAAACCATTATATTTTCTCCTTGAGGGACAGATCTGGCCAAAAAGGGCAACAAGTGGCCAGAGACCAGAGTTGGAAGCTGAGAGCTCAGCCTCCCCTGGATAACTGACCTCCTGGGACCAAGTCCCAAGGGTCTATGAGGACACAGTAGAACCCCTGCCAGACCCTCAGGGAACGGGGGTGGGACTAGCTGGGCCGCAGGGCCAGGGCTGGCCTGGCTTTTGGAGGAAGCTGTTTAATTACCAGTGAAAGCCCTTCCATTACAGAGAGAAGAGAAACCATAATTGCATTTCAGAGAAGCCATTTATATGCAAACGAGGCTCTGGCAGACAAAGCTGGCGGGGCCAGATCAGCCACGGCTGGAGTGGTGTGTCCAGGCCTGCCTACCACTTTACTCCTCACACCAAGGCAGGGCTCCAGCTCTGCTCTGCTCAGGGAGCCAGGCCCCTGCCGTTTACCCTTGCGCTGGACTGTTCCAGACTTCATGAAGGGTAGAGCTGTGCAATGGAACAGTGTGGTTATTACAGTCAGACTGAGCTGGGTTCAAATCCTGTTTCTGGAACTTTATTAGCTGGTGGCCTTGAGCAAGTCACATATCTCTTTGAATCTATTTTCTATTTATAAAAAATAGATTGATCTTGCAGGATGGTAGTTCATTTGGGGATGTTGTATATGATACTTGGCACACAGTAGTTGCTCCATGAATCTTAACTACAATTTTTAAAGCAATACACATCCCTAAGTTATGTAAATCAAATTTCTGACGGATGAATTTTTCCTAAATGCTTTAATTTTATAAGAATTCACAGACTCCCAGAGTATGAGAACTGGAAGAAATCTAGGAGGTAACCATCAATGTACTTTGCAAATGAGGAAACCAAGGCCCCGAGAGGTTAAGTGATTTGCCTAGGGTCACATCGCTAGTTTTATTAAATCTAAGAATAAACCTCAGGTTATGACTATAGTGTGGCGTTTTTTCCCATTATCTTTTAGTGAGGCTGAATAATTATCTTCAAATGTATCTGTTTAGTAGTCCCAAATTTCCATGTATTGGATTTGTTTGAAGTGGAGGTACACCTGTACTCTAATGCCCCCAGAAAATGTGGTAGGAAGTGGTACAGATTCCCCAGTAGTGGTGGGGGGATGTGAATGGACATTCCACTTTGATAGGCTGCCATGTGGGGTGCAGACTCTGCCAGGGGAAACTCCTGGGTGCCAAGGAGAGGACTTGCCATCCTGCCCGAAGAGCCTGGGAGACTCATGCTGGCCTGTGTATGTCTGCTCTCAGGGAAGAAGGCTAATGGAAAGGGAGGGCCCTGCCCGCTCCCCCCCCGCCCCTCCCCTTCCAGGAGTCTTTAGAGCTCAGCTGTAAGCCTCTAGCACCCAGATCTCCTGCCCACTTCTTCAGAGTGAACAAGACAGCTTTGTGTCCACTGCTATGCCCTCCTACCAGGACCCAGTGTCCGTCTTACCCCGTAGATCCTCTCAGACAAAGTTCTTATCTCCTTGATGTGCTTCTAGAACATCTTGGATTTCCATTAATAATGATGATGGTGATAATTTGAGCACTTAGCATCACACTAAGTGGTTGCCATACATTATTTCATTTAATCCTTCCCTATAAGGTAGATATTATTATTCCCCCATTTTGTAAGTAAGGAAACTGAGGCCCAGAGAGGTTCAGAGGGACCCAGGCTACAAAGCCAGTAAGTGACAGAACCCTTCTGAAGCAGACATTGTAGCTCAACGGTTTCCTGAAGGGACTGTGAGCTCCTTGGGAGCAGTGGCTGAACTCAGACCTCTCTAGGTCTCCAGGGCAGGCCCACAGTGGGCAAATGTTCATGGAGGATGAGGTTCTTCCCAGCTTGGCGGGGCATGGAAGGAATATTGGAGTTTCCTGTCCTCCCCTTGGTCCCCTTGGCTAATCCTGCCTAAAGCTGCCAGCCAGCCCACACCACTCACTTGAGGGACAGGGAGAAGTCATTCTTGCTGGTCTCACTGTTGCGCACCAGGTAGCTGGCCTCTTTGCAGAGCCGGAGCAGGTTCTCGGCATCTGTTCGACTGATGGCCCCATGGTACCAGCTGAGGACAAGAGAGAGGAAGGCAGCCATCTCTGCTGGGTCCCTCGCTGTCCAGGCCCACCCATTCTGGGTGTCCCCTGTAGGCAAGCCAGTGCCAGGAGGGGAAGGGAGGGGAGAGAGTCCCCAATTGGACAACAGACACTCACACCTGGTTTTCCAGAGGCAGTGCTGGGTCTGTCCACTCCCCCAGGGGGCTGCTGGGCTCCACACTTAGGGGCTTGGATGACTTGGGGTTCCCTGCAGAGAGTCGGGGAGGTAGCCGCCCCTTCTCCTCCCGGCCAGGTGACAGGCAGCTCTTCTCAGATCCTTCAAACTGGGCTGTGGGGAACATACTAGTCACAGACTCTGAGGACCTTAGAGGTAGAGCTTTATAGAATAGTCAGTGTCCCATACCCATTTCTTGCCGAAAGGGGTCAAAGGCATGTACAGAAGCACAGAACATGCTCATAGGCCTGACTGGCTCTAGGGACGGAATCCTGGGTCCATTCTCCTGTTGCAATGGGGGTGGGGCTCAACCTTCCCGTGCCAGACAGGGCTTCCCAGTCCTCATACTGTGGGAGAGGAGGGGCGAAGAGCAACAAGAGAAACCACTTAAGCTTCTCCCTCTGGAGCAGCTGACTGCTTTCCCCTATTCCATCCCCCACAGGGTGGCTTCAGCACTGATAATATTGTTTCTTTCTCCTCCTCAGAGTTCATTACTGTTCTCAAAATCACCCTGCCAAGCCATTCTGTAGAAATGACTTATCGATCTGAGAACAATTATCTGATTCCCCTTGGTGCCATCCTGACAGGCTAATCCTGACCAAAGCCGCCAGCCGGCCCGCCCCTCCCCAACCCCAAGGTCGCTGCCCACAGGCTTTCCTCCCTCATCCACAGAAGCCCAGCGGAGGTGGCTCTGCCCTCCCTGACTGCTGAGCCTGCACACATGGGAGGGCTGAAGCCCGGGGGCCACATGGGCATAGGCACATATGCACAGGTGACAGAGACCTCTTTCATCCTGTATTTACAAAATACCCACACGTTTAGGTACAAACAGGTGCTCATGCCTGTGCATGCATGCACGGGTGCACGCACATACCCTTGGCTGCCCATTCTGGGTAAAACTGAATGTAGATGTGTTCAGTGCCTTCTTTCTCCCCATTTGGACTCTTTTTATCTCCTTGTAGCACTTTCAAGCCCTTATTGTTTTTCAAACACCAGATGCAAGGATAAGATCCTTTTCTTTACTCTCAAGAGTTAGACACTTCTTGTGCTGGCTAGCATCACACCTCAGAAGTTATTTGCACTGCTGAAGGATCTGGTTGGGCAAAGCTCTACCCAAAGAAATGAATTTAGAATAGTGAATTTTTGTGGTATGGTGGGGAAGGCATTTGGAAGGGGCCTACCTTAGGAGACACCCTCCTCATACCTTTAGGGGAGGAAGGATTGTTTACTTTGTCCTTTCCTCTTCCCCTAGGATGACAGGGATTCTTTCTGGGTTCCCCAAACCCTGCCCCACCTCTTGGCTCCTCTAACCCAAGCCTACAGGGCTTGAGGGGTGAGAGGACACATCATCCTGGCCAGCCCCCACAGGACCCACCGCTGCTGTCCTCCAGGCTGGGCTCGGGGAGGGGTGAGGCTGGACCGGAGATGTCCCTGTCCCCGTCGGGCAGGGAGGGGCTGCTGTCCAGCTGTCCCACCGGTGGAGGCCAAGGGAGGTCTTTGATGACCTTAATGTCAACTGGAGCCAGTAGCAGCAGGGAGAAGAGAGACAGACAGGGACAGAGACAGAGACAGGGACAGAGAGAGGCAGAGGTTGAGACACTAAAACCCAAAGCCAGGACACAGGACAGCCTAGAAAGGAGGAGGGTCAGAGCAGAGGCAGGGCTGGTTGGGAACAGGACTCTCAGAGGACTGGGCAGAACCACACTGACCACACACCGGGCTGGCCTGGTCAAAGGGTGGGAGGCTCAGGTGGCAAACAGCAGGATGCAAGGTCTTGCTCTGCCAGCCTTTCGGATCCCCTTCATTTGACCTCTCACAAGCCTCCAGGGGCCAGAGAGACCAGGAAAGATGGAAAAGAGGGACAAGGAGCTACCCACACCTCCCAGCACCACACCCAAGTTCCCTCAGCCTCCCAGAACCCCCAGCCTTGCCTTCCTTCTTCCTTTTCACACAGCCTGAGACAGCCCAGCTTCAGGCTGTCAGCTCATGTGGGGGCAGATGTTTTATTGAAATTTACCCCCACACCCCAAATCCTGAGTCTTGCCAATTAGAAGAGTGATGCCACTGGCGGCTGCAGGACTGCTAACAAGGTTTCCTAATGACGAGCATAGATTTTCCCATTAAGCAATCCAAACAGTATTGATTCTCCAAGGAGACTTCTGGAGATAAACGGCCCATCCTCAATGGTACGTGCTTTACAGGAAACAAATTAGAAACCTGTGGTTTCTCAGTCTGGCTGCTAGAGTAGGGGGGACGGAGCAAAGAGCTGGGTCCAGCTCCAAGATGAGATCTTGCCCAAGGAGGAGCGAGGGGGACATGAGAGTGGAAATTAGGGCTAATGGCATTTAAGTCCTTTATGTTCTCACTGAATCAAGGATCCAGGACCTAAAGCCATCTCCATACTCTAGGCTCTTGCACCCCGAACATAAACCACCAAGACATTCTTCTCTCTGTTGGACTCTAGGCCTAGGATGGCAACTGGGGTGCTTGGTATAGGAGAAACAGATACTCATTCAACAAAAGAGATTTCTCACAGCCTCCCCCTCTCCACTGGTTCCTGCTCCTCAGAAATCCCTCTAGGAGTAGGCACTCTGGTCTGGCATGGCCTACCACTGGGAGACACAGCCCTCTGACTCAGGGCTGGTATCTCTAAAGGTTATATACACAGCTGTTTTCATTGTCTGGAGTGTTAAATGCCTTCTTTTGTTAAGTGTATTTAACACATGGCACAAGTTTTACTATTTTGTTTGGAAGTCTTTATTTTTAAATATACTCAGCCCCTCAAAAGGTGGAAGTGGCCCAAGCCTCTTTGCCTCCAAGAGACGGTGATGCAGAGGGACACCTTCATCCTTCTTTTGTGCCCATTCCCTGACCCCTCACACATCACAGTGTCCGCACTGCCCAACCCATGGCTCTCCGTGGTGCAGATTCAACTATACTTCCCTTGAACCCAGCTCCTGGGCCTCCCCCAGCCTGAGACTCCACTCCTTCCATTCCCTAGAGCCTGGACAGCAGCTCAGAGGCACCAGCAGGCCTGCCCTCTCCACTGAAGACTCACCGGCAAAGGCTTTGGAAATGCGCTCCTTCTTCCACTCCCAGGGCTGGTCATACTCCTCAGGGGGCCTCTCGTCATCCTCCGGCAGGCGGGATTCCCGGGGCCAGGGGGCCCCCTCACCCTCCGGGGTGGCCCCCTCCTCCTCTGGCTCATAGGGTGTGTCATACAGAGGCAGGGGCTGAGCTGCTGTCTCCTTGGAGCCCCGAATCTCTGCCAGGGCAAGGCAGGAGGGAGGTGTGAGAGCAGCTCCAGCTGCCTGGCTCAACTCCTCTGGCAGTGCTCCCCAGCAATGAGTCAAGCCTACTTCAGAGGAGATGCAGCTGGCCCAGTGGGCCACACGTCCAGAGTCCCTCTCCTTCAAAACACCTCTCGGGTTCCTAAAGCATGGGACCCAGCAGGGGCAGGGGCAGAGAGGCACCAGAGTGAAATACAAAAAGATCTTGCAATGGCCAGCAAGGGCTGGGGAGCTAATGCTTACACACTGAGGATACTGAGGCGGGGTCCTCCCTTAGTCCATCTCCTCCTTGCTACCCAGATCCATTTAGTCCCTTGTGTCCCAAGTGAAACCATTTCACCATCAGAAAATCCTTCTTTGTTGCTCAGATACTGCTGAACACCCCTCCTTGAAACTGTCCCCTTTGACAAGTCATTTTCATGGACTGTCCTCTTCTCTGATCACCCCTATTTGGTCCCTTTCCCTGGATCCTCTCTTGGTCTCTGCTTCCCAGGGCCAAGTCTTATTCATTTCTCCCAGCCCTCACTCCTTGAACTACTTGCCCAGTCTCATGGTACCCTTTGCATCTGTTTCCAATTGCCATAAAGATGTTTCACTTTGATGTTTCAAACCCATCACTTTCCCCCAAAGTGCTTCTAGTCTGTTCTGTGATTCTGTTTTTGGGATCACTGATCCCAGTGAAAATCTGATAAAAGCTATGGAGTTCCCCAGAAAAATGTGCACATTTTCTCATCGATTCCAGGGCACTCATGGACCTCCCTAGGGTGCCCTCTGACCTAATAAGGTAGCCATCCTCTCACTTTCCCTATTTCTCTTCACTCTCCTTTCTCTCCTTGGTCCTGGCCATCCTTCATTCTCTGAGTCCCATCTGCCAATGCCTGATGACTTTCACCTTCATCTCTCTATATCTAGATTACTGCTAGGGCGAATCTTCATTCTTCAGGCTCCTGTTTCATGAGCTCCATGGAATGACACTCCTGACCAGTCCTGACCAGTGGATGTGTACTCTCTTTCTCAGATCTGCTTTCTCACAGAGAGGACCTTCTGGTTCTTTCTCCTCCTACCCTGTGCAGGGGCCTACAGCTGTCTTATGTGATCCAAGCCTGAGTGGACGAGTATAATTCTGTGGTGAAGTATTAAGAAGCCCATTGTGGTAACACAGCTAAGTAATGTTCTCCAATCTACTTTATCAGTAATAAAGTTGACATCGTTATCTCCATCTGTCTGTTTCTTTGATCTCATTTCTCAATTATTTCCAAGCTCCAGAGGGGAAGAAAGGGGTGTTAATTATTGGTTTCTTAAAGTCTCAGCAATTTCCACAAAAGCCTGTGAACTCATCTTTCTGATGCTCAGTTCTTCTAGTCTGTTCTGTACACCAAAGCCTCAGTAATCCTCTTAAAATGCCATATTCATCTTTTTCCTTTCTTGCTGAAGAATCCATAATGGCTCCCCTCCCCCTTTTGAAGCAAGTCCAAATGCCTCATTCCAACCTGCCAGGCCTTTCACTGGCCCTCTTGGCCTCTCTCATCTTGTCTCTCTTGTATGCCCAACACTAAGATTATTTGCCCCTGAACAAACCTTTCTCTCATCTTGCCGTGGAGCCTTGGCTTAGACTGACTCACCCCTGTACTCCTCTCCACTCGCCCCCTTTTGGTCTCTTCTTGGATCCTATCTGGATCTTGTTCCCCAGGGCCAGGTCTTATTCACTTCTCCCTGCCCTCATTCCTTGAACGACTTGTCTAGTCTCTGGGCACTGCATCTGCATTATAGTCATATGTTTCTGATGGTCATAAGATGTTTCACTTTGACATCACATCATTTCAAATTCACCACCTACCTTAAAGCTAGTGATTCTTTTTTTTGGGACCAATGACCCCCCAGCCCACACCATTAACTTGCCCTTCCTAACTACCCCAAATGCTATCTGTCTGACCTTTGGTTGTGTGGCCTTTTCTACCACCTCAGGTCACAGATCCTTCTCCAAAGTGACTGTCTTGAAGGCAGTGGCCACCTTCCCTGAGGACCCAGCAAAGGCATTCTCCATATTTTCTAGAGACCAAGAATCAATTCTTAGACGCGTGGGTCCCAGAGCTTGTTCTGCAGATACCCAGGCCTCAGGGAGCAATTCCCCAACCTCCATCCCAACTCCATCACTCACCAGCCATCATCTTTTGGGCCTCATAGGGCTCCATGTAGCCATCATTTTCTGGGACCTTGTCTGGGGCTCCTGAAGTTCCTGCTGGGCCTTCACCAGTCTCCTGAACATCAAACGGGTCCGCATAATCTTCTAGAATTGCCAACTGTGGGAAGACAGCAGGCTTCACACATCTGAGAGACAGCTCTGCTTCTCCCCAGATGTTCTGTCCATGGGAGCAGGAGTCCTGGACAGGACCTGGAACCCCAAGTACCCAAGGGCAAGCTCTGAGCTTAGATGATGACAAGTTCTGACTCTTCCTTTCAAGAGTTCACTACTAGGCTGCTAAAGAAGTGTATATCTTTCTTTTCTGTTAATTTTGTGTCTCTGGGCCATCCCCGAGGCTAAATGGCCAGGATGAGGCTCTGGGCCTTAAGGTTTGCCTCAGTCAGGGTCCAGGCTGGATAAGAGACTACACTAGGTGGTTCAACGGAGGAGATTAATTCAGACAACCAGTTACGATGATGTTGAAAGAGTTCAAAGAATAGGCAGGGCGCAGCAGGCAACTTAGAGATTAGCTTGGTCCATTCCAACCAGTGTGTTCCCAGATGCTGAACAAATAAATACTTGCTGACAATCAAGGAAGGAAAGGCCGAATACTCACTTTATGCCACAGTTCTTCTGGTTTATCTGTACAATATCCATCACATCATCATGTGGGTATTATACCCATTTTAAGAAAATGGAGGGTCAGGACAGGTAGGAAACAACACACCCTAAAACATTCTGCATAAATGGAGGAACCAGGATTGAAACCTATGCCTTTTATATAAAATCATGATGCCAACCTGCCACCAGTGGGCATTTTGGCTGTCTCAGAAGGAAGATAACCATAGGACAGCCTTGAGGAAAGCCAGGAATTGGGCTCTGCTAAAATCCTGTGGGCTCCTGGAGGACAGAAACAGGAAAGGCCTCACTTCCACAACCCACACTTTCTCCCACACAAGTGGCTCATGGCCACCCCTCTGTCCCTGCTCCCAGTCAAGGAAGAGGGAACCGCAAGCCGCACACCCTGCAGAGGTGTTCAAGGTGCTCAGGGTGGGGCACAGCTGAGGACAATAAAGCCTTTCTCCAAGCTAGGCACAGGCTCCTGTGGGGCGGGGAGGGGAGGACCGGCTGAGGCAGAGACAGAGACAGAGCCCAGCCCACCCAAGGCTGCCAGCCCCTGGGGGGAGCGCTGCACAGTGGGTTGACAGGT